ACATACAATTACCATAATAATTGAATATATTTTCATCAATTGATAATTCAGAACTACAACGGTAAAGTTCTGGATAAATACTGACCAAATTTTCATTGAATGTATCATATATTATTTTAATATATGAAAAGTTATCCGAGTCGTTTTTATCTTCTGGATAAATAGAGTTTGCGGGATTTGATATTTCATATTTATTTGTATCATTGTCTTGTGTTATAGTGTCTACCACATTGGTGTTATTTATATGTTGAATTCTGATAATTGGATTTGATGAACCCGTGTTTCTTATAAAAAACTGTTGAAGTTGAACCGACTACTTGTTGAAAAGGCAAAAGATAGACAAGTGGTCTTATTGGTTGTAATCGAAGTTGTGTGGTTAAGTTAGTAACATGTCTTGTTGGTATCTGTTGTTGTGAAAATATTTGAGATGTAATGAGGCGTTGGTCGGAGCATATGTGAAGGAAGCATTTCGAGTTTGGTGGTTCTGGTATTCGTGATACGTTGTGTTGATATTGGTACTTGATAACTAGCAGTTTGTTGTAAAGAACACATAGATGTATTGCCATCTTCAATTGTTTGGCTCTGTGTTGTGACAAAATCACAATTAAAGTCCAAATCTACTTCTGGGGTAGATGTTTTTGTAACTAGTGATATCTCTTGTTTTTCTTGGTGATTTTCTTCTAAAACATCTTCGGAATCTTGGGAAATGTCATCAGTATCACTTTTAAACTCGATTCTTACAATTTTTCTTAAATACACACCATCATCAAATCTCAAATATTTTTTGATGAGTTTGTATTTCTTTAAAGATATTGGTGCTTTATATAATATACTTGATTTTTCACTTTGCCACAAAGCATCAAGTGCAATTTTATTATCTTTGTATCGTCCTTGTATTATTGTTACTGCAAGAAATGCGTTAAATTCTTCAATTGAAATATCTTTCCATTCAATTTTATCTGATTCCACATCATTTTTAATGTTATTAAAAATACTCATTTGTTTTCCATACTCATTAGTGAAATTTATACAAAGTTGTTTAATATTGGGGAAATCATGACTTAAAAATGAGTAAATTGGTGGCTAATAGGTTAATAAGACAAATTAGTTGTTCATCTGTAGACTTAATTTACAGATAGCGAAATAATAGGGATCACCAGAAAATACAGTGATGAGACTAATTATAACTAATGAACATTAAGCGGATTTTATACAATAAAACGGGCAAATATATAAATGAAAATGTAATTATTATTTGGTCTTAAAAATGGTTATTTTTCGGGATGAAAAAAATTGAATATGTTCTATAAAGTATTAATGAACAATAGTTTAATATGAGCTATTATCATTAGTTTATTATTATTTATTATTATTTAATTAAGTTTTTTTTATTCATTTGGTCCTAATTATAACCAATTTACAATTTGAGTAGGAACTTAATATTTATTCGTAATCTTAAAAAATGTTTTTCAAACTAGAAAATAATGTTATTCATAACAAAAAAAAATATTTTTGTTTTAAAAAAGACTTTCAAAGTGTTTAATAAAAAAGAAGGATTAATTCACGAAAAACTGAAATAAGCCAATAAAGACTTTTTTGTTGATCTAGGACGTCCTTCGTCCCAGTGTTTGTTTTTTTTCTTAAGTTTTATTTCTTTGTAACATTTTTATTTTACAAAAACATTTTCAATTTTTGATTATCAATTTTCAGAGAAAAAATCGGTAAAGATAAATGCACTTTGGGGTAAAAAAGCTTAAAAAAGATTGTGTTTTTTAAAATTCAAGCTTAAGCGATTTCATGTAAATTCAATCTCAAAAGACACATTTTGTTGAGTGATATACAATTAAAGTTCAACAAATAATATTATTTCTCTCACAAAGAAATCCGTTCAATTTATATTTTTGGTAAAGATATTCTATAAATGTCTTTTAACAAATCAAAAATATCAGCACTTTTAACTTATTTTTTTAATCACTTTCCGATATAAAAAAATAAAAATAATTCGGTTACATTTTTTATTATAGTATGAAATGGTTGTTTTGTTGGTAAAGTTGTTTTGAAATTTTGGGTCAATAATATCTGTAAAATATTGGAATCTATTTGAAATATAAAACATCATTTAATCGATTATTTTCTTATGTTTTATTAATTTTTAAACAATTATTTGTGTATATATCAATAACGACATTGTTGGCAACTAGGACAACAATTTGGCTTAAATTTTATTAATTTTATATTATTATTGATTTATAATGGTTTGAAACATTTCAAAATTATTAGCTAAACACATCATATTTGTAATTGGTTAAAAAGTTGATAAAAAGTGTAAAAACGCTAAACAATTTGTTGTTTGTTTTTATTTCTTATTAATCCCGTATTTGTAATCATGTTTTTATTCATAATCTTCCAAGTATAAATTGTACGACAAAAAATAAAAAACATACCTTTTTAAATTTACTATTATTCCATTTGAGTTGTTTTTTGAAACTTGCACAATGGTCTTATATGATAATTATATTTCAAATCACTTATTATTTAATACATAATAATAAATGCCGAACATTATAAAAATATCTTTCTTGTAATACGTATCAATTTTTTATGTTATTATTAATTCAAATACTTGAATAAATAAAAATGATATCTGATTTGTCTTTTTTGAGAAATGTTTTGTTTTCTTTGATTTAAAAGAATTAACAATCTCATTTATTTAAATGTTACTAATCTTTTTGACTCTTTTGAGTTACTCTTTGGCTTTTACCAGTGCTCTTGGAAGTTACTACGTGAAATATCCAGCTCCAATTAATGTATTTATGGCAAGTAATGAGAAATATGATAGAATGAAATGTACCACATGTTGCCGGGTTCTTTTTGCTTCAGACTATAACTTTCGAACTAAAACTGTTTTTAAAGAAACTGATCCCAGTACAGACACTCGTTATGTAATGGATATGGAGTTTGATGACAAATCCTTAGTCCGTGCACACACAGGTAATTGGGAACAAAACATATTGCTCCGTCCTTTGAAGATGGGAAATGAATTACAATTCTGGGAATTTGCTTCATATAAGATGTACACCTCCTTCCCAATCCCAAAAAGAGTTCATGATATCAGAGGTTCTGCTTCTATTGGGAACACGTTGATCATCTGGAATAAAAAACCTCCTTTGGATGCAGGAACAAAAAACCAAAGATTTGTTTATGTCCACCCATACAATGATTACCCATCTAATGAACGATATTCTGTGTACAAAAAACACTTCTACATTCCTTTTGAAACTAAAACTGATTTGTGTTATCAAACAAAAGATGTCAGAGATTCAAGATCAACTTGGGATGGAAATAAAAACTTGGTGGTGTTAGGATCAAGCTTCCAAATTGCTGCGCAACGTTGCAAGGCGTCGGAAGCAAAACAGATATTTACACCCATTTTTGCCTAAGACTATTATTCCACTTTTGTTAGTAAAAGGAATTATAATAATTTAAATTAATAAATTTAATAAAAAATATCATAATTGATTAATAACAAAGTGTAATTATTGTTATTTTTAATATAGTAGTATGTTTTACTATATAATCCTATTAAATAAAAAGAGTGGGATCGAATTATTTTTTTGTTTTGAACATAATGAATGATTTCTTTATATTTGAAAAATGGAAGTCTATGTGTACATTTGGTTTGTT